CTAAAAGCTTAACCAGCTCTAGTTCCTGGTCCTCATGCCTTATATACATTTTTCTTTCTGCCATCATTTGCTGGGATTATAGGCGTGAGTCACCATGCCTGGCTGTTTCCATTGTGGCTTTGATCTCACAGAGATCCAGATGAATCTCTGCCTCCCAAGTGCTAGGATTAAATGTGTGTGTGCCACCATTTTCAGGCCTCTATGTCTATCTAGTGGCTGTTCTGTCCTCTGAACCCAGAAAAGTTTATTAAGATGCACAATATATTGGGGGTCACAATATATCTCCACAGCCCAGTGCTCTTATCCCTCTGCTTACTAGTCCCTACTCATTTTCCAGAGTGCTGTTTTGTAATGAAATGTCTCTATTTCTGTTACTAATCATGCGGCCCTGGTCCAGTTCATTGATGTTGGACACAAATACTTGGATATTACAAAAGTGTCCCAGGGTTGGTTTCCCAAATGTGACTAGACTCAAGTCTTTACCTGTAATATGTGATGAGCCTGGATAGAAAGAATCAAAGGCATAAGAAGTTTCTGTCTTCTCTGTCTCTGCTTGTTTCTCTCTGTCTCTGACTCTCTGAAATAACCAAATGCGTGGTTATTCCTTCTTTTACAGAGCACTTACTAATGATGGAGAAATTTCTATAGGCAGGTTAATCATGACCTGGGGCATCAGATTCAATCCTGCTTTTCTTTGCTTTCCCTGCCTACAGAAGTGCACAGTGAATTAGAGATTGTGCCCACACCGTAAGGGAAATAAAGGCATTGGCAGGACAGCTAAAATCACCTGAAATATGAACACCAGCTGTCCAGGAAGATCTGCCTAGATGGGAGGCTCACAAGGATCCTGCTGAGGACCTGTTTCTGGAGGAGGCACATGCACTTGTGCATAAGTCCTTGAAGCAGAAAAGCTGAGCAGAACAGAGGCAAAAGCCATATGTGTGGGCAACCTGGACAGAAAGCAGCCAAGATCCTACAGCTCTGTGTTTGCTCAGGATCCCCTGTGAAGTTGGAGATCTCCTTCCTTTCTCATTCTGCAGGAAAGCCTTTGCAAACCAAATACTTAAGCATCTGGGTCACTGACTCTATGATAATGACCATCACCTGACAGGTCCTACAGCCTTTTGCACTCTACTTACTTCGGCTCCATATTTTTCTACCACTGTGAACTCTGTATTCTATTTCATCATCCCCCAATAGCTCTCAGCCTCCTCCATATTCATATATGAGAGATGATGCTATGTATAAGACAGAAGAATAATCCCCCAAGCCAAGAGATGCTCACTGTGGCAAAGCGTCAGTGCAAACAACTCCACTGACTGGCACTTTTAATCCAAATGGCAATTTCAAACATAAAAACCCAGGGCCATTCACATGATTAAGACTCCACTGGGGGCCTAGTATTTCTTGAATATATATAGTAAATATTGCATATTCAGTGAATATATGTTATATGTATTTACAGGGAAACCTTGAACAAGCATCTCAATAGGTCCTTGTGGGATCTGATGGGTACATCCCAAGGAGAATGAAGGAGTGGTGTGAGGGGATTGGAAGGAGGACATTCTAAGCAGCTGTTCTCTTTGGGCTCTAAGTAGGTAGAGCGGTAACTTGTCCATTCCCGAAGTTCTCATTGGTATCTGTCTCTCTCTGTGAGATGAGCATGCTAAAGTCTTCCCAGGT